ACATATAGTCTCGTGATAACAAATTAACAATATAATTGCATGTGAAATATGAAAGGTATTTTGTCTATCCCTTTAAATAAAGTGTTTCAAAAAAAAAAAAGAAGGTATTTTGTCTATTACTTAATTACCTTTATCAACTCTTCCAATTTCCAAACTATATGACCTAATAAAGATCATATCATTGTATTACTTTCAGCATTTTATAATAGTAAAACCCTTTACTAAGGTACAAATGGCTTTAGTCAAAGGAAAACAACAACATTACATGTCGTAGTGGTATTAAATTACGTTGTTCAAAAAAAAAAAAAAAAAAAGTGGTATTAAATTACGAGCTAGGGCGTTGTCGTAACGTACATCAATGCAAACAATGCATCCGTGAGTGTGTAAACGGAACTGTAACGATCGACATCAATTCAATTTCTCAGAATCAGCCACCGTAGAGTTCTTATTTGGAGGCCTTTAAGAGCAATCAAACATATACCAATTCGCATACGCGCGCAGTATAGAACGAACACAATATAAGTATTAGTGAGAGCGCAACAACATGTTACAAAACTCGATCTCAACTCTGGTTTCGATTACTTTCAAGAAGATTGACAGACTTGTCCGTAACTCCATCATTGCAAGGAAGAACCGCAAAAAAAGTTCCGTAACCTGATGAGACTTTAGCTGAAGTATGAGTGATCAAACTGAGCTTCTTCGTATTCTGTAGTCTTTCTCTGTTTTTCCTTTTTTTTTGCCAGAGAAGGACTAGCCCGCTTAACCTTTTTGTATAAACAAACCTTCTCATTTCTTAATGATATTCACATACTTAGCAAAAAAAAAAAAAGTATTAGTGGTGATCATAACTACAAGTGTCGTACAAGGTTAATATCTACCAGTTTTGACCAATTAATTTAGATTATCACGGATAGTGAATTTCTTCGAATAATACTGGTATTAGTCGATAAAGCTGGTTAGATAATTTATAATATATATATATATATATATATATATATATATATATATTAAAATTACAGAGAATTAAGCACTTCAACATGCTGTACAATAAAAAAATTTGTTGAATGAGTTCTTTTAGCCGGCCCTCGCTCCATTCAAGACCAGGTCCTTATTTCATGTATACTAGGTTAAGACCCGCGCTTTGCGCGGGGAGAAATTAATCTACGTAATAATCTATACTCTTTGTAGAATAAAACATTTATTATATAATTATATAATTTTAAAAAAATAATAACAAAAGATATGCAAAGTATTTGATTTTTTATTAAGTAAATTACATATGTTATAAAATTTGAATTTACATAAACATTTACCTTTATCAATTCAATATGATATATATTTTCTAAAATTTGAAACTGAAATATTTATGGATTTTTTGGATGAAATTTCAAATTTGTTGATCATCACAAAAGAATATTTATGGAAAGCTATATAATATATAGTTAAATTTAAATGATATATATATATATATATATATATAATCTAATTATCTTTGAAATCAGATTTTTAATAATTTTAGTAACTTACAATTATTTTTTTAAAAATCAATAAATAACTATATAAAATATTTAAACTTTTTTTTATAGTTAATATGATTCTTATAATTCAAACATCTCTTTGGATTCTCGGAAGTCCCAAATTATAGGTAGAGAGATTAGCATTGCCCACCATAAAATCAGGCATATAATAATATGGTGTATTTATGAATAAGATATATTTGGAATTATGGCACTTAAATTTGGAAGACATCATGGGTTAAAGTTGTATTTTTGCACCACGAAATCCCTTATATTTCAGCTATATATGCTGAAAATACAAAAGAATAATTTTATTAAAATCAGTCCATAAACTCAGTTTATAGACACAGAACTTTACAATGTTTAGCATGAATACAATGTAAAAATCAAACTATATGTGCAACTGAAACGTGGTTGGAAAAAAACTATGAGTTTCATTGCAGAATAGTTTTAACCATGAAGAAGTTTTCTATCATTTTAAAATGAAAGTTATGTATGGGGTACATGACTTATCGATTTAGTAAAATGAATGCACCAGAGAAGTCAGGGTTCCTCTCCATCTCTTTGCCATAGTTAAGTGCACGGAAAGTAGTTGGAGCAGGTTCTAACAGATACAAAAGAGTGTCCTTGATCAGAAAAAGAGTTCTTTAAGTTAACTCTCCAACAGATGTGAACCTACAATCGATAAGTCATCCACAAACTCCTTGTAACAATGTTCGATAGTAGGCTCAACCCCATACACACTACTCATCATTTCAAAGAATTTGCAAGCTTGACTTAACAAATCCACATGATTAGAGGTAGATAGAATAGTGAAAAAGAGATATTGTTTGGTAAAAAATTTCGTAAACGATCTCTGAGACCTCTTTTTAAAGCATTTTAAGACCATGGACGCTTAAAACTCAATATCATCGAGTTCCATGATATCCACAAAAACTGTGTAAGAACCCATCAATCTCAGTCCCATTTTTGTCAATACAAACATGTCCACATTCACCTTGACTCGACAATCCAAGATTAGCATACGAATATAAGACAATAACAAAAGTAAAACCATCTGGTTTCTCAGCAAAACTATTAAGCATCTCATTTAAAACCTCTAAGCTCTATAACTTCTCTGTAGCAACCCGTACGTGCATAAGTACTCATCATCGCGTTCCAAGAAACCCCATCCTTTACAACATATCGTCATGTCTGTCTCGCTTCATGAACCAATCCCGCAGCTGCAAAACCAGAAACTATAAAATTCCAAGACTCAATACTCCTATCCTCCATCTCATGAAACAACCCAAGAGCTTCTTCCACCAAACCATTTTCCACAAAGTTGCACTCAACAACAAATTCACGAAACAACATCTCTCACATGCATTCCATCGAGTACTTTATGCGCAATCTAATAGGTAATCACTTCTTCCGTACACTTAAACCAACGTATTGAAAGTGAGAAAACCCTCTTAAATTGTGTGTACATGTAAGGAGAAGTTAGATTGGTATGGGTGAGATGGAGATAAAAAACTAAGATTGCAGAAACTTACAAAGGACGAACTCATCGAGAGAGCTCCGGGAGCCAACCTCCTTAGCCACAGAATTCAAACCTATAAAAAAAGTCTGTGTTATAACGTGAGCTGTGAAATTATTCATTCTAACAATATTGAATTACAATCACGATAATTTATTTTACGTGACTTAGCAATTACAGATTCTTAATAAGGTATTTATAACAGCTATACAATTATTATTTAACTTTTATATATGTTAAGGATGCTTATAATAAAAAATATTATATTTATGATGTCCAGTGGCATATTATGTAAATATTCTAGTAAGAGAAGGTTTTTAAATAAAGGATGTGAGAAGCCCTCTTGTGCTGACACATCAGCATAATGGCATTCTTGTGAATATTTTACATATTAAAGGTTATTTATTTAAAATGTTTCCCTTTTAATAATAAAGTGATCCGTATTTTAAATAATCTATTGTATTGACCAAAAATAATAATAATCTCATTGTATATCCCATATTATATTTATGTATTTTGGTTCATAATGGTTGCTTATAGTTTGATCGACCGAAAATATGCTTGTTTCTGAACTAGCAATCTTTTTATGAAAATGGTCGCAACATCATTGCAGTAGCATCCCGTGTACGTTTGACGTCCATATATAGTCAGTATACTACATGCAGAAGCCCAAACAAGTTAGATAAAAAATCTAAGCTGGTTTTAGTCATTGCGTAGTTCCGTGAATGTCAGGAATGATTTTCATGTTGTAAAATACATCAAGTTGCATACAAATTATTTTCAATTCTAAGAGCAGTCAAAAGTTTCAAAAAATATACATAAGCCGGGTTTATTCATTGGGTGATTCTTACTATAACCCTTTGTTTTAATTGATCCTTTAGGCTTAGTATTATAATTTTTGAAGAATAAATTATCAGAGGTCTTTGACTGATTTTTTGGTTCTCTATATATTCATCACCACCTCGCGAAATGATTTAATTTTTCAATTCTTTGCATTCGTTATTGGTATTATGTATTAATATAACACGTTATGCATCCAATCTCTAAATTTTTATCTAATTGTTTGTGTATCAAACGTTCATTTTTGATTTGTGTTAACGCTGCATTGCTGACCGTCATAAACAAGAAACGTTTAAAGATTATATTTTACTTTTTAAATGACTACTCAGACAACTAGGAACAATATTTTAATTTATAACTACATTTAATTTTCATTCACTCATTTCAAAAAAAAATGTTATCTTCTTTCGTGTATATCTAAAATGACTTTTAGTTAATCACAGTTGTCAAAAGACGATTTAAAAATGTTAGTTATGGAAAAGGAATTTAGATTGGAGAGCATGTTCGATTAACTGCCAAACTATGCAATTAGGTGTGAACAGACTTCTTGGTCGACCAGACAAATGCCAAACTTTTTATAATGCCATCAATTAATCTTCGATCATGGGTCAGTTTCCTCGTAAGCACTGTAGTACTATTGAGTTAATAATAAACTAATGTAAGTGGACAAAAAATATAACTAACGTAATTAAGAGGCTTATTTGTCAAATAAAAAATGGAAAATTAAATTTTGAAAAAAAAGAATTGAGAGAGATACGAAGAGAAAGTAGAAAGGGGAGGGGGTTTAGTAAGTAGTGAATTTGTGTTTCTTTTTGGTATATAAGAGCATGATTAACCTGGATTCTTAAAGTAAGATTTTTAGCGGAAATTGAAAAATTATATCTTAATTTTTAATTAAAAAGGTAAGAACTGGTTAAGAATCGCTTTTTAGTTTTTTAGTTAAAAATTAAGGAATAGTTTTTTAATTTTCACTAATAACTCCGAATTAATTATGGTCTAAAATGCTACAAGCAGTTTTTTTTTCAAAGACTCATAAATTTCAGGCAATACTCTTTCTCATTAAGATTTTGTCTCCATCTACCACTATAAATAAGAGATGTTATATCACCACCATGTCTTAAACCATGGAGCTGAAAATCCCTCCACCAGTAACATCCGGCTCACTCACCTTCAAGGTGAACCGGCGAGAGCCGGAGTTAGTATCCCCGGCAAAGCCAACACCGAGAGAGCTCAAACTCCTCTCCGACATCGACGACCAAGAAGGACTAAGATTCCATATTCCCTCTATTTTTTTCTACAGACACAACCCCAATGCTTACTTTGATCCGGTCGCAGTGATTCGGAGAGCACTGGCCGAGACGCTTGTCTACTACTACCCGTTGGCTGGTAGGCTCAAGGAAGGACTGAACCGGAAACTTGCAGTGGACTGTACTGGCGAAGGCGTATTGTTCATAGAGGCAGATGCTGATGTTACACTAGCTGAGTTTGAAGATAAGGATGTGCTTCGTCCTCCTTTCCCTTGCTTTGAAGAACTTCTCTTTGACTTAGAAGGTTCAAGTGAGGTGCTCAACGCACCTTTGATTCTTATCCAGGTCAGTTTCACATGTATTCAACTTTCAAGTTAAAAAAAAATTACAATTTTCGTGGAAAGAATTAGTACTCCTGTTAGTTGTGTTTTAAAGATGATTTAGTTTCAAAATATATGTTTCACATATCAGGGCTTTTTATATTTATTGAATAGTGTATAGCCAATTAAATTTACAAACATTTTTATCTTTTTATAATTGGTGGATTTTACATGATATATACATTAAATGATAGCCTTTTGAAGTTAATGATTTTTTAAAATCTACGTGATTTTATTCAGAATTTTATATTATCAAAACTGAAGGAGAATTAGCTAAAATGATTTATTATTTTCAGTCTTTTAAATAAAACATGAGAATAATTTGGATATAAAGAAGATCTTTTTTTTTAGAAGAAACAGGACACCGAAATATTACTTTTAGTGTCAAATAAACAAGAAGAAAAGAAGATTACACTTAAGGTTCATATTAATCCGTATATATATAAGGACAATTATCTCAAATAGATATTTTTAACTTTTTATAACAAAAATAAACATCAAAAACTAAAATAACTAAAATGATATTTTTTATTTTGAAAATTTTAAATTATTTTTTTTTTTTTAAATTTGAAATCTTATCTCCAAAACTTTGACTCCTCAACTCTAAACAGAAAATATAGAATTAGTTAATCCAAATGATATAAGTGTGTATTTATTTATTTTTGATAAAATATTTAAGTTTATTTTAGTTATTTTTATTTTTTAGATCTTATTTGTGATAAAAAAAATTAAGTCTATATTTATGAAAAAAAAATTATAGGTCTATTCTATACTACCCGAATATTACTATTATACGGTTATATTAATTTCATGTAGGTCACGCGTCTGAAATGTGGAGGGTTTATCTTCGCCATCCGTCTCAACCACGTAATAGCCGACGCAGGGGGTCTCTCACTCTTCATAAAAGCTATTGGCGAGTTCGCACGTGGATGTCACGCTCTATCCATCACTCCCACGTGGGAACGTCACCTTCTGAGCGCCAGAGTCCCACCACGTGTGACACAAACGCACCGAGAGTACGACGAAGCCGTGTCAGAACCCGCCACTGAAGACGTGGACACTCTGATCAGCAAATCCTTCTTCTTCGGCGCCGCCGAGATGTCAGCCATACGGAGGCTCCTCCCACCGAACATCGCCAACCGCAGCACCGGTTTGGAAACGCTGACGGCGTTCTTGTGGCGTCACCGCACCGCCGCTCTACGACCCGACCCGAACAAGGAGATGCGAGTCATATTCAT